TTAAAATTTACCCCAAAGGGGTTATATACAAGTAATAATTAAAACTGACCTAAATCATAATTTAATTAAAAGAAATTAAAGTGAAAACTGAAAATGTTCAGCAACTTCAGGCTACCACGTTAATGATTCACTTTAATGTGTTTGTAGTTCTGTAGTAATGGCCTTTGAGTGTATGTGCTTCTTGGTTTATGTCTGATATCATTTTACTGCTGGAATATTTTGAAAATGGTTGCAGGCTGTATGATCTCAAGTGCCTATATGGATGTACATGTGCTTTCTTCTCACATTTTAGGGGTTTCAGTGAAGCCAGCATATCTACTTGTGTGCAGAATGCAGATCAAGGCCTATATTTTTCAATTCCTCATTAATTAGTTTCTCTGCTATACAATAAGGACCTTCATGTCATTAGTATGATTACCATGGCAGTATTTCTGGGCTGTAAAAAAGATAGTTCAAAACTTGTCTGACAGCCCTTGGTTGTACTTGCATTTGTTATACAAGAAAGAAGCGCAGGTCAGACCAGTGGAGAGATGCCAAAGTCACTGGCCGTGCAGAAAAGCAGAAGATGCTCCTGGACTTGTGTGGCAGAGCCATTCAGAGATGTCACAGGATTAAACCCGGTGTCCCAGGATGTGGCACCGGCACAAATATGGATGAAAGCCTCAGGTGTTGGCCATTTGTCAATTTTATTTCTACCTCAGGAAGGAGGAGGAGGTTTGAAGAAACCTTATTCTAAACACTGACACCCTATGGATGATATGAATAAAGGTTTCTCAGTAGCAAAAACAATTTTGTTATTAATAGCATCTGTTTTCATTAGTTGGACTTGATGATCCTTGTGGATACTTTCCAGATTCTGTGATTCCTTGTTGGAGGGGTAGAAATAGACTGGTTTGTACTGCTTATGCAGAATTTCTTCCTTTAAATACAAATATACAGTGTCTGCAATTCTGTTTTCTTCTGAAAAATGTCTTTTTGCACCCATTTTTGAGGCACTTTAGCCTAATCTCTAAGTTGTTGCCAGCTGCTTGTGAAGAAAGGTGCTGCTGAAGAGGAGTAGGTGTGCAAGCAGACCTAGCACTTCCTCAGCTCTGAAATGGGAAGAGTCAAGAGGCCAGCAGGCTATTAATATTTCTGACTTGCCATGTCTGTCATAAGAACAGTGGAAGATGTAAGAAGCCATGTGTTTCCAGGCTCTTGTAGAGAAAACGTGAAGAATACTAAAACCTGCTCCTAGGGTTTGTTCCCTGACCTTTCATCCAGATCTTGTCCCAGCCCTCTCCTGTCTGATGGCTGGCTTATTATTTATTATATTATCTGCTTGATTTGGGGGCTGCCACTGCAGCTGGCACCTCACTGGGCATGCAAAATGCCTCTCCATAACAGAAAGTGGGCAGGCATTCCTGGAGAATCCTCTTTTCTGGTGGAGTTAAAATTGCCTCTGCCAGCTTGCTGAGCATGCTGATTGATCCTTGTTTAGCTTCTTTTCTACCAAATATATCTTTTGGGGAAGAGGAATGGATTTTCTTGATGACCTCAAAGAAAATGCCATGGGAAGACAGCAAGAACCTATCATGCACTAGTCAATTGGCAAGAGAAAGCAGAATATATGGACAGAAGAAGGTATTTTAGTGTCTGCTGTGCTTGTTTTGTTTGTACAGTACAACTGTAATCCTCAAATTTCTATTTTTTTAGAACTGACTGTCATGCCAGAGGGAAAGAAACAGATGTTCCCATTTGTCTTGTGATGTGGCTCAAAATCATTTACATTTTCTGGCCTAAAATGACACGACATGTCATTTGCCACTTTGTGTATTATCTCCTTTGGAGTGAGTGACAGATTGCTGTTCAATTACCACTGAAATAGAAAAGCAAATATTGTGAGGACATCTTTCACCTAAAGGAAATGCAATCACTGATTGCTGCAGTAGTGGGAAGAGAAGGATGGCAGATACTGTAGAAGCCATCCAGTGGAAAAGACATTTTTATTATAAATAATGTCATGCGGAAGATTCAAGGAAAATGTACTGGTTCTGGCTTTTCTGCCTGGAGAAAAGGAGAGCCAGGGGTGAATAAAAATATGGTGAAAAAATTGTCTCACTACTCTTGTAAAATATATTTCCAGCTCTTTGCCTTGAGGACGTGCTCCTTAAAGCCTTTCCATTTGCTCTGCACCCAGTTCCAGTGGAGAGAAATAACTGCAGAAAGACTCTTCATCAGTCAAAGGCACTCAGTGAGAGACTCATTAGAATGGTTTTTTAAAAGTGGAAAAACCTGCTTGTCAAAGACTTTGGGATTAGTCTCTTTTCCACTCTATAGTTTGCTTTCTTGTCAGTGTATTCATGCCCTGCTTCCTCACTTTCTCACAAGATAAATTGATACTCCAGGCCAAGCAGAGCTTAACCATTCCTTCTGAAAGTCATTTACTTGATCATCACTTGTCCAGTCTTAATTTTTAGCATTTCCTTTTCCCTATTTCTGCCAAACTCACTTGCCAGGCACAACACTTATTGTCAGTATACTGATCAAGATGGATTTTCATGCCATGATCCAGTCAGTCAATGGGATTGGGTCAGAGTGCAAGAGGTGAAGTTTCTGTTTAAAGTCTTTTACATTTTTCTTTCTAAAGTAACAAAATGAAGTGAAAAAATATTGAGAATCCTGTAATTTATGTTACAATATATAGTTGTTGTTGTTACTACTATTATTATTGTTATTATTATTATTATCATTCCATTTCTAAACAGTGAATGTCTGCTGAAATAATACATTTAGGATTGAGAAAATGTGGTTTATCTGATAATCTGCTGAATCAGATGATCATTTAAACTTTCTCTTGTAGTTTAAATTTTCTCTGCATGACTAAAGCAAGAGATATAGTTCCTTAGCAATAAATATGAATTAACCTGGTTTTAGTCAAATAAGCTGTGGTTATAGTCATGAGAATGGATGTAGAAACAAGTATCATCTGGAAATTGATTTTTAAATTGTGAATGCAGTAAGGTAATGGCTGGAATTAATTTCAGTGATACATCAGAGTTACATATATGCCTAACCTGCTTTTTCTGATTGTAAAGTTCTTTCTACATAGTGTGAAACATGTTACACTTGACCATGATTGAATCCTTGAAGCTTTGGCACCACTCATTTTACAGTGATGCAGTAACCTCTTTTGGTCTGACCTATTGGTAAAGATTTTTCCAGTGCTGCTGCACTGCTGTGTTGCAGGATTGTCTTTATTTATGAATTGCTTGCTACATAGCTTGATGGCACCAAGCCTGTGTTTTAAGAGAAAAGGGTGGGGGAGAGAAAAGTTTAGCTAACTTTCTATTTTGCATGTGGTCTAATTGCGCGTGGACAGGCAGAATGGTGACTTTGAAAACAGTAACTTTTGATTTCAAGTCAGGGAAAGAAAAACCCTGCAGGTTTTGTCACTCCATTTAGGTCAACCACATAACACAATTTTTTACAAAATAGAGCTCACTATTGTGCTAGGAAATCACTATGGCAAGTCATCCATTAAGGTTAGAATTCATACTAAGAGTTACCAGGAGGGCAGGAAGCACAAGTCCCCACTGATGGCCATCAGCCACACCCTGCCCACCTCTCTTCTCTCAGGTGAGGGGTGTCAAGTTCCTGCTTCATCTCCTCTCCTCCTGAGAGCAGCTCTTGCAGGGCCAGCCTTGGAAATAATTCTCCACTAGTCCCATCTGCTGGATGCCAGGAAGAATTGCCTGCTGGAAAGAGGGAAAGCATCATACCTCAGCCTTTCAGTATCAGCTGAGGTGCAGTGTGCCACCAGACATACATCTGCCTGTGGAAAATATGTGCTCTCTCTGTTTTCCTTCCATGCACCTAAGCACATTTGGACCACTGCTATTCCCATCACCAGGCTCCATGTGTTAAGTAAAAACAAGGTGGCTGACAAGGAATTTTAGCTGTATTGCTTTAGAGAAGCTGTAATCAGAAAACCCAGCAGCCAGCAAAGATCACAGCAAAAAAAAAAAAAAAAATGTGTATCATTATCCAGACATTTCCAGGCTTGGGAATGAATTTCCCCTCTCACAATGTATATGCAATCAGCTTTTCAAATACCTCATTAATGCTGGTGCTCAGCTGTTCTTTTGGTGGGAAGGGAGCATGGCCATGGCATCCAATCCTGCACGCAGCTCTGCAGCCTCTCATGTTATTATGAAGCTAAAAGAGCCTTTCCCATCCCTGAAAATAAAGAATTCCTGATATATTTCTAGTCAGGGCGAGCAAAGTTTAAGAGATCCATAGATATTTTTCAGGGTATTACCCATTCTCAGTGGTTATTTGCTGTTTGGTACCTGCCTTCCAAAAAAGAGCTGGAGGGTAGAGAATGGATAATGAATGTGAAGTAGAGGAGAAAATTGGGAATGAATGTGAATGTAAAAAGGGGAAAATTCATTCAGTCCTAGCAGTCTTACTTTGGTTTGATGTGCTGTCTTCATTACAGCCATTTGTGAGGAATTTTTATACTTTATGTTAAGTGGTATTGTGGCTTTTGCTTTAAAATTCAGTTCAGTTGATTCTTACCTCCCATAGGCATTGAAAGAAGTTCTGCAGGTCAGAAACACAGCCTCTTCAAGGATTCTGTTGAAATAGAAAAATAATAGGAGGGAAATAATGCTAGGAAGAAACCTCTTTATAAAATACACAGAAGTTCAAGCAACAATTCCATTTATTGCAGACTGTGTTTAGGGAAACATCCCTTTACTTGGTACTGTTATTTCCAGTGGGCCTATTGAAATAAAATCTATAATCCTCATCTTGAGATATAAAAGCATGACTGTTTTAAATGGAACTGGTCATGTTGGCAGTTTTTTTCAGCTTACCTTTACATCTCTCCTTTTTTATTACAGCGCTTTGCTGTAAATTAGCAGTTTGTGCTAAATTGGTTACAATTAATATTGCACTGCTCCAGTTACCAATAAAAAGATGTATCATAAATAATTTTTATGTGTTTTTCTCAATAGGTGGTAATGATGCAGTGGATAAGCAAAACACCGATGAAAGTAAGACCCAGAGCCAAGAAGCAGGTTTGTGCCCAGCTCCTTAAAGGCCTGTCTTAGATTCTATCCACTTTATTGAACAACACCCTTAGTCAATGCTTTTGAAGGGGAATGTTTGTATGTTTTCACCAGATTAGCTCATGTCTTGAGCAATTCTCCCATTAAAGACCAAATCTTCATTCATTATGAATGAATGTGTTGCAGAGCAGGAATGCAGCCCCCTCTCAGCTTACCAGCTCTACATTCTCCCTTCAAATTGCCTAATCTAGATAATCCTCTCACAAGGAATAAGTATTTTTTTCCCCTCCGTATAGAGTAGGAACGAGGGAAAGAAATTTGGGGAAGGAGAGGAAGCAAGCAGGAGGCTCCTTCTGATGAAAACTCAACTCCTCATATTTTTAAAGGGTATTTTCAAGTTCTAAAAAATTGTCTACACAATGGTTATGAAGATTTAAATCCATAGAGAAAAATATTGCATATGCTGTGAGTGAATGTCAGGGTTCACAAGTGGTGGGTTTTGCAGGTGACATGCTTATAAATTATTGAGTTCAGTATGTTGGAATAGAGTGTCACTCCATATTCACAAGAGATTTTTTTTTTCTGTTTACGGTTGTATTTTTCATGCTCCACAACTCTATTTCTTGCAAGAGACAGCTATGAATTGACAGAAAGAATTAGCTACCAAAAGACCTGAAGTAGAAATCAAAATGTCTGTCTATTCCCTTATTTCTTAAGTATTTCTTTACCTGTAATATGACATGCAGCACACTGCTTTTCTCATTTGGTTAGGATTTTTTTTCCCATTGGAATGCAGAATGTTCCCTAAACATATTTAAACCAGAGAAAGAGGTTTTCTCTGGAAATTCTTGAGCTGAAGGTGGCTGGTCAGCAAACACAGCAGATACATTTAGAAGGCTTGGATTCCTGACTTAATTGATTTGCTTCCTATATTGTGGTAATGAGAAGTCCATTGAATGAGGGTCTTCTTTTCATCCTGTGCATTGGCCACGGTGTAGGTAGAAGGGCAGCTTCTCCCTGCCTTCCACAGGTCACTGTTGTGCAGCTGAGTGTTAACATCTGATGTTGCCTGTATGTGCTCAAAGTCCTTCTGTGTTTCAAGCCTTTTTTGTCACCTCTTCTGTAAGTGCCTAATGTGGGGCAGGCAGCAGGAGGTGAAGCCAGAAACAAAGAGTATTACAGAATAAAATAGATTCCCATGGACCTCAGCAAACTTTATCCCCCCAAGACAAGTGCATGATGGTGTTTTGTAAGTCTGAGAGGGCAACCACATATCATATCCTTCCCTGTTTTTTTCATTTTCATACTAGTTGTATTTTAAACAGGCCAAGGGGACCAGGGAGAAGAATGAGTTATTCCGTGTGAATTGAGATTCTGTTTCAAATCTCTGACTAGACTGGGGCATATCTTTTTCCAAGCAATTTTGAGCTTTTAACTTTACCAAGTACTGCTTGACTGCTAGCTCACCTAAGAGCTAATACTGCCTGGAGCTCCTGGCTCCAGTTGCAGAGGTTCCTGTTAAACCTAATTGTAGCATCTGCAGATGCCCAATACAGCCCACTGTGCTTGTCAGTCATCAGATAGTCACTCTGATGGGGTAAGTACTTCAGTTTGATTGAATAAAATACTCTTTTTTTTTTTCCCAAGAGAATTAAGGAATGTTTACCTCTTGAAACTACCACTTTGCTACTGTAGGCGTTATAAATGCACTATGCTTTTCCCAAAACTCCTTGTTACGACTTGTTACAGTATGAGCTGTCAGAGCTGGTTTATCAGAGCCATGATATACATTCTTTTGCTATCTTGTATTGGTACTCATGTTTCATTATTCTCGTGAAGAGTGTCAAAGAAAAGATCCAGAAATTTGAGGTCCCAGATCCAGAAAATGTCATTTAGGAACGTGGTTTAGGTAAATGCCTCAACATAATGTCATTCCCAGTCATAGCCCAATAGTCACCTCCTTGGCCACAGGCAGATGGTGTTGCAGAAAAGAATTATTTGGCTGAACAATTTTCTCTCCTGGTTTACATAGTGACAGGAACAGAGAGGGCCACAGTTACCTCAAGTTAGTAACATCCACTTAGTGAGTCTCTGCTGCTTTCTGCGCTGTGCATTGTGGAGACAAAACATCACCAGGAATTTTGAGGTTGCTGCTTTTGCACCCTTTCTTGGCAGTGGAAAATGACCTGATTTTCCAAGATTTCCACACAGTTTTGTGCCTAGAAGATTTCTATACACTACAAGTGACCACTGTTAGGAGCAATCCCATCAAAAGTTAATGTTATTTGTATTATCTAAACCAAAAGGCATAAACTTCCTCTGAGTGTGACAAATCATATACTTCAGTATTGTGAAAGAAAATGTAGGACAAAAAATTGATGCTCTATTCTTACCTGGTCCATTACATAAAGATTTGTATATTCTCATTATAGTGAAAAATATCATCATATTATAGAGAAAAATACACATTATAAAAAAAAAACTATAGTAGTGGGAAAAACAGTCTGAAAAGACTGAAAATTTTAAGCTGTGTGGGGTTTTTCTAAAGTCTGGCCTCCAGTCTCTCATCAATGAGCTTCACAGTTACCACATGGAAAAACAACATGGCAGGTGGTTCTGAGATCTTGTTTCAATTTAATTAAAAGTACTAAAGGGCTATATAAGGAAAAAGAAATTGTCAGCATCATCAACAATAAGTCTTTGGAAAGAAATTAAAGTCTAGAAATTGAAAGAAAAGCTTATAAATATTTTAGAGCTGTAAGAATTAGCAAGAAAAATCAACAGGGAAAGTGAAAATGCTTTATTAAGTTCAGGTACCAGTTGTATCTATTAACTACAATAGTTTTACCTGTGTGCTCTACTATTAAAAAATTCCAAGCTGCAGATTTTTAGGGACTTTCTAATTTCAGGCCTAATTCATGAAAGCTTCTATTTTCAGGAAAGCAATTGGATTCCAGTGGGATTCATGGACATGATTCAATTAAGAATTAATTAATTGTTTTTCTCTCAAAATATATGGATTAAATGAAAAAAAGAAATCTCAGAGTGAATAGAACACCACTCTACCCATGAAAGCAATAGCTGTTCCTCTATCTGTATTATGATAAATTGAAATACAGATTTGATCTGGCTGTACTGGAATGTTAGTTTACATCTTCCTTAGGAAAGACTATCAGACCAGTAATAGCCAGTGAATGGATGGAAGCCCTGTAAATGAAATTCAGCTCCAATATCTTGTCTCTAGAAGGCGTAGCACTTTTTTTCCAGTAAAGTGCTTCATCAGTTTTCTGTTTAATGAATAACTTCTCTTTCATTTCCTTTGTTCTTATAGGTGAAACAAAACCTTCATCTGTAGCCAGCCTATCATCAGAAGACATTGAGCTGAGTGAGAATAAAGGTACAGATTGGAAATTATGTTTTGAAATATCCTATCCCAAGAGGACATTTCATAAAACTGTTTTTTTTCCTTTGGAAATAGCCAAAATCACAGTTAAACAATACATAAATAGGTAAACACTTGGATTTTCATTTACCAAAGGCTTTGTAATACAGCTAAGCATGCACATCTATCTCAGCAATATCAGCTCCCTGTTCAGTGCTCTCATGATGCAGGAAAAGAAAAACACAATAGCTATAAACACATCAGGAGGAGACAGGAGGAGATGAAGTCATAATAGAGAGGCAGAAAGTAATGTTTATCTTGTGCAGACTGTGCTGGGCACTCAGATCGTTTAGTTTGTAATAAATATTTAAAAGTGTCACAGGGCCAAATGACAGGAAGTTTAAGAAACAAGAGAGATTATCTAATTTAAATGTTTCAAGCTGAGATTTTTCCTGTGGAGTTGCTGGTTTACCAACAGATAGGAACCAGTTTTTTGATATTCCTATAATAATCATGCTAGTAGTTGCTTATGCTGGTCTACATTTTTTAGCATTTTTATGGGGGTACATCAGGAAAAAGTCCAGGTGTTATACAAAATGTTTGCTACTGGTAATCCAAAAGAGGAGTTATGCTATCTATAACAAATACAATCCATCAGTTTGGCCTTCAAGAAAGACTAATAGAAAATTTTCATGCATTTTACTCAGATAACATAATTATTAACATCCATTAACTTATTTATTTTAAAAGTTTCAATGTTTAATTCAGCATTACTACTTGACTCTCTTCTCATTTTTCTTGATAAGTGTGACAGGGTGTGAGATCCTGCCCTTTTGTTCCAAAGCTACATGCTGGACAGCCCACATACTTACCTGATTATGAGTTCAAAGCCCTTGTGCAGGCTGATTTAAGTGCTCTTTTAACAGATTGATTTATCCTGCAAAGGAAAAAAAGAACCACAAATCTTTGCAGGAGCACTGGCTTTTGCTTTTGATACATCACAAATTGTAGCTGTAGCAAGGGTAGTGGAAGGCAGAAATAGTGATAGCTTCAATCCCAGCATGGTTGGTGATTGTCTGTCATTAATTTCTCTTCTTTTGATGACATTTGGCCTGTTTATGTATTCTGTTTCTGGGAGAATCCCCATTTTATGTGTTTCACAATGTGAGGGTCACAGTGAGGCTTTGGGTTTGGATTTTCCTTTTCTGTCTGCAGTCAGCTGATGATCCCAACAAACTGGTATTGTTCTGAGTTCTTGTTCCTAACTAAGAAGATGACTGTCTTCTGATCTGCTTCCCAGTGTTTTTACACTGTTGCATTAGAAGACTCTTTTTAGGAAAGAAATCATCTTTGTGTGCTAAGTCTCATTTTTCATATATTAAGAGTATATATGGTGTTTTCCCCTCTTCTCTTGAGAGGCTGGCAGAAGAGATAGTGCCCCAAGAGATCCAAAGTGCATTATCTCTTTGATGTCCTACTTTTCCTCATAAGAAAGATGGGAAGCATCTGGTACGGAAAAAGGAGTGAGACAAGCTCTCCTCCATAGATTTTGTTTGTAAAACTGTACAAGTTAAAAAAAAAAGAAAAAAAAAAAAGAAAAAAAAAAAGAAAATAAAAAAAGAAAAGAAAAGCTAAAACTGTGCTTTTGTATTTCCTTGCTATTTTTTTTTAACGGAAACAAGAATTTTGAACATCAGTGTCATCATTGGCCAGGCCATGGTTTTAATCCTTATTTCCATCAGTAGATTTTCAGCTTTGCAGGCTTTTACTGTGAGGGTGCTGAGGCATTGGCAGAGACTGCAGAGAGAAGCTGTGGGTGCCCCATCCCTGGAAGTGTTTGAGGTAAAGTTGGACAGGGTTTTGAGCAACCTGGTCTAGTGGAAGGCATCCCTGCTTTGGGGTTGGAATGAAATGATCTTCAAGATCCCTTCCAAGCCAAACCACTCTGTGATTCTTCAGTGTTTCTATCACTTCAGATTTTGAGTCTTTTTAAAATAAATACTACTGTTACCAAAAAAGTGCTACCTCTTTTTTGAGAAATGGCACTTCTACAAAATCCTGGCATTTCTGAAAACACCTGATGCTCCCAAAATAAATTCCAGCTTTCAGATTGTTTGCCTACTGAGTTAACATGGCTAAAACCTCCAGGTTCTGGAACATACTCATTTCTCTAGTTTATCTTCAACTAAATGAACTGAAAATAAAGCATTCAGAGAAATTATGTTTTCCAGGACTCTTCCAGCTAATTACTGTAGAAGATTTATGGCAAATAAATCTAGCTGCACATTCCCAAAATGCATAGCTTGAACCACTCAGAATAGCAGGGATAGCAGGAAGTTTCCTGCTATGAAAGTTTAGGTCTTTCAAATGTCAACCACTTGTGAATGCACCAAAACAATTATTTTGAGTCCAATTAAAGTTGACTAGCAGTTTTTCTTTTTTTTTTTTTTTTTTCCTCCTCATACTTCTGGGATTAGAATATAGCAAACACATTGACATAATTATTTATTGCTCTAAAATGTGGTGATATTCAAAACAGAACACATCCATCTCTGTTACTATAAAGATCTAGTATTTTTGTTGTGAGTCCTCTTTATAATATTTTTAAAGGAAAAGGGGGAAGATGGGAACATGAAAGGGGTTTTCATGATAAGAGTGGAGGGCAATGCAAGAGCTACATTTTGAGGGGCTTTGATTAAAATGAAAACCTCTCGTGAGACTTCAAATCTCACATTAATCTAAAAGTATATGTCTTCTTTTACCGTAGGAGAGATACTGTCCAGGAAAAAAAATCCACACAGACCCAGTTTGCACATGGCCTTTGAGCAAACTGAATTTTTTCAGTGTTCATCTGTCTACAGAGAAAAAAAAAAGAGAAGGTGGGAGGGGGAGGAAAAAAAATGGGAGTCATATTTCAAGAATATCGGGATTTTCAATGCAACACTGTTGAGGTATCCTCTTATTCCAGTCTGTGCCAAGTTTCTTTTCTGCAAGGAACTGTTGCAGTTTTACCCTTAAAAACTTGCCTGCTTAACTATGATCTCTTGGGGGAGAGCTGACATCTCCAGGCAGCACCTTTGCAAGTGCTTCATTACTGTGCATATGGAAGTAGATACTTTATACATGACGTATTTCAAGTGAGAGATGCTTCTTTCTATGAAGTGTAAGGGCAGAACAAAGTGATTAAAGTCATTAATGTTTATGCAGCAGATAAAGGGTGTGTCAGGCAGGCTGCACTCAGTCTGGTACATCTGTCTGCACGAGATTGTGCTGGGGCTACAAACTAATTTTAAATTGACCTTGTATTGATTGGATTGAACCTGTGTTTTGTTAAAGAGAGTATGTGTACATGCATGTGTGTGTGACTCTCTGTGACAGAGAGTGTTCTGCATCTTCATCTCAGTTGCCTCTTCTACCAATTACTATCTAACCCAATTTAATGATTAGACTTTCTGGCAGGAAAATGTAAAATGGAACTGGATTTAGTACAGGTGAAGCATTACTCCCTACTATGCAAAGTTTCTGCACAATACATTGATTATAATTCATTAGCACTTAATAAGAAATGAATTTTCATTTGAAGGTCAACTAAATTAAATCATATACTAATTAATTTTAAAAATAAAGGTGACTGATTAATTATTTCCAGGTGTTCAGCAAAGTCTGGGCTTTTGTGGGAGTGCCATTGAAAGCAAGTCACTGTTTTTCTGCATTCTCTGAAATGGAGTCAGATTCAGTTGGCTGGAGGGTTTGTGTTTCCAGAAAAATAATTAGGGATATTACTTGGCTAGGGGTTAGCCCTAAAAATTCTCTTTGGGCAACCCAGAACCCAGTAAGTATCCTGCCTTTAAAATGTAATAGGTATAAATTCCTCTTTGGCCAGTTGTAGCTCTCAGTATAGAAAAATCTTGATGTCCTAAAGACATAAATGATTGAGAAGGCATAAACTGAAAGATAGAGCCTTTCAAATGCAAGTGAGCTGTGCAAATTGACATAAATTAGTCATTGGTAAGCACATGAAAAAGACTGGCTGAAAGGCCAATATGTTCAGAAAGAGGTGTTTAAAATCAGCTCTTAGGTATATATTAAGACATCTAAATGACTGACCTGATTTTGAGAAGTGCTGAGCACTCAGCAGCTACCAATGAAATGTTTTTACTTCACCCTTGGGCTATGATTAGACCTAAAATTTCAGCCTGGAAAATTTCAATTATAGGTAACTGAAATAGAACCTTTTTTAATGGAAGAGTTTCAACACCCTCAGCCATACCTGTGGCTTTGCACGCCTGCTCAAGTGATAACATTTTTCTGTCCCTTGGTTAGAAGGATTCCTGTGAAAGCAAACTGGCTAGCACAAGCTGATTTGTGGGGTTTGGGGTTTTTAACCAAGGATGTCAGCACCACCATCCAACCAGCCACTTATTCTCTTAAAAACTTCCAAAAGGTTCACTTCAAGCTGTTCATAATATGGGTTATTCACTTCTTCACATTTAATCTGACACATTTGACCTGAGTTGTGCATCCAGATGGGGTCCAGCCCCTGAACTTCTCAAGAGGTATTTCTGCTCTACCCTTCACCAATACTGGCATCTGCAACAGTGAACACTAATCCACTTAGCTGGTTTATTTAAATCCTCCCTATTTTTTAATATTAGCTGACCTGAAGCCATTCAGCTGTGCTCCCATCAGACCAATGTGAGATCCTGCTCTTTCATCTTCTCCCCCCAGTCCTTTCCCCTGGACAGGCTCTAACCAAGGCAAACAGGTTTTTCTCAGCTTTTTCATTTCCCAGAGCCCTGTAAAACAGGTCCTGCCCCATATGTCAGGAGAAGGATGCCCACAGTTTTTATACCAGCTGCACCTGGAATTTCTCAGGTGGACAGAAGGTAAGATGCACTTCTGTCGGCTTGAAGCACAAACAGGTGGGAGAAGTATTCAGTGGATCCCACCTACAGATATGAACTGTTTGGTCTATTACCTGAAAACCTGATAAAATATCTCTACAAGTTGTTGCACCTGAAAATGTCGGGTTCACCAAGCATTTTAAACTTCGGCTTCAATAAATCTAATGAATTATAAAGATAGATTAAAATGAAATCTTGGTGAATATAAAAATAACATTTTAGAGTCAAAGCTCAAGAATCTCTTCCTAACTTCTCATAAATTGCCATTTTATAGTACTTCATTTTAACATATTTTCCTCAGTTTATGAGGCAAAAGAATACCTTAATCATGTGGCAGCCTCCGTGCACACCATTACCTGTAATTTTAGATGTCTGCTTGATTTCTTTCACTCTGGAAACATTCCAGTCATTTATCACAGTATCATGCTTAAAAAAATAAAATGTACTGAACCTGTTCTTTCCTAATGACCATCATTTTCCCTCTTTGATCTTCTTACAGCTCCCTAAAACACGGTGATTTATCTATGCTGTGTACAGGACCCAGGTGTTTTGCACATTAGAAACTACTCAGTAAATAAGCTGTACAGAGCGTAGCTGGGGAAGTGAATTTTAAAAGATCATTAAAACCACTTAACATTCAGTTCTTACATCTCCCCTCTACCTTAGCTTTCTCAAAATTGTATTTGAGCAGCACTGCCTTATACAGTCAGAAGAAAAAATGAATGGTATGAAAAAGCAGGGGATTTATGCAGGATTTAAACAAAACAGCGCCTGACTATTGGCAGGAAGGATAGGATTGATAGTTTATTGCAAGCTACATGCTTTTCTTGGAGATGAATTCAGCATACAGTTGGTAGGAGCAGTGAATATACCTGCAGAGTATTCTGATTAATTTATTTAAGGCCTAAATATTTTTGTAAACAGGTTGTTGAAGACTGGGGCTAGTTCCCAGGTGGATTCAAGACACTTATTTCAATAAAATGGAGGGTAGCAGAGACCAGCACTCCTGACATGGACACTGCCACTCCAGCCAGCAAGGAGGAGTTTTAGAGAACTAAGGGTTGCTCAGACTTCATTGAGCACTTAAGCACCTGAGGTGCAGTAGATAAATGTGGCCTATCTTTGTCTTGTTTATGCAAGAAAATGTCCTGTTTGGTTCATTCATGTGTGATGTTAGGAACTGTACTCCAGTGATACCAGAAACACAGATTTTTATTTTTTTTCAGTCCTGACTGGAGAAGTGTTAACTTTCACAGTCCCAGTTTGTACTTACCCAAGGTAAATAGTGCCCAGTGTGTCTGTTACAAAAAAGTTAAGCAATACTGTGCTGTGAAAGAATATCTTAGCTAGAATTCTCTGGTATGACTTAACAGCTGTGTTAGGAGAAGACTAACATTGCTTTATGCCATTTTAAAACATCAGGTGAATAAGAGGTGAACAAAGGCCGTAGGGATGGCCAGAGCTCTTGCAGACCCTGGAATCATCCAGGGCTATAATACTGGGCTTATGCACAGTTGCACAAGGCTCCAAAGGGCTAAGTGAGCACAGAGGATCAGCTGAGCCTGAGGAATACCACTACCCTACCAAAAACTTGCACACAGAAAGTAGTCTGTCATGAGCATTTTTATTGATCACTGCCTTTGGTTTTACACTTTCACTTTTGCTTGGCACAGATTTGCTTCATAAATCTGGGATTATTCCATTGCTTTATTTTATTTTTGTTAATCCTAAAAGTAAATCTGCCTTTGGACCTTGTGGCTTGAATATTTAGTGCAATATTTGGATTTGAAAAGAAGGAATCTTTGATATGGTCTTGACCTTAAGGATTTTGGAACTCAGAATCTTCATGGTAAAAGCAATCAAGACAGGTTCCTGCTTTTGAAATAAAACTGGGAGACTCTTACAACTAGGCAGCAACTTCTGTCCATTGTTATTTTTGGAGCCATGCTTTGCAAAAAAACAACTTGTGAAGAATTCTTATTGTATATTGCCTGAGATAATTTGGAACTGAGTGCAGTTAAATTGCTTTCTCAAGCAATGGGGCAGTGAGACAACTGCTTATGATAAAAATGAAAATTTTAACACAGAATTATAATTCCTTAAGAATAAAGCCCATGGGACAGGCTGCCAGCTGTGCTAATAGGTGGGAATAGCAATGACATTCCTCCCTCTGTGATGCTGCGTGACAAATATCACCATGATAGGACACACATGCCAGCCAAGCATGAGGCTTCTTAAAATTCCATTATTGATTGACCATTGCATGTAATTGTGCCAGTGATGCTGAGGATTGCTTTTTGCATTAAATTGGAGTCATTCCTCAATCTGGGAAAAAAGGTGGCACCAGTGAACTGGGATTAAGGGCACCAGTCTGGGAGTATGAAGTATTGTGCAATAGGTGAGAGATAATAAATAAGAGAGTTCTAAGGGAGTGATGGGGTAGAGCTGCTTGCATATCCCCCCTCCTGATGCAGGTGATACTATACTTACCATCATTTTTGACTGCTTGAAGGGCTATGTTTGAGTCCTGGCATCATGGTACTCTAGGCAGAGGACTTCTGATTCCAGCTTTGCCAGTGCAGTTCCTTTTACAAGCATGCAGCTGTATCATACAAAAAAAATACATTAATTTAGGGTATGGAATTACAGGTAATACAAACCTTGGCTTGTCTGAAATCCTGAGAGCTTCGTCAAAAACTTCAGCAAAGCCAGAATTTCCCTCAAAGTGTTCCAAGTTTGCTTGAAAAATTCCCTACAGAATTTTTTGCTATTCCCATTTATACCAAGAGATCCTTCAACTGGATTTTTTATTAAACTCAGAATTTGATAAAATTCTAATTTAGTTTTGCTCCAATGCAGGCTGATAAGGGTAATCCTTTGAACCTCATTGTACCATATGGTATGAAAGACTGGTGCGGTGGTCCAACTGAGAAGAGTGAGCAGAAATTTAAGTTAATGGTAGGGAAATAGAAGTGCAGCAAGTATAAAGTTTTGCAAATTGTACATCAGTGAGTTATTCTGCTTTCAAACTTGGGTTTTTTAAAGTTATTGTCATGCCATGAAAGAAGTCAGAAACTGTGCAGGTAATTAAATATTTGCCTTGGGGGATTATTTGCAGTTAATTAAAGCCACACAATTTCAGCACGTACCTTTCCTACAAATTATTAAATTTGGATCAGATATTAACAACCCAGCTTTCTACTTATCCATCAGAGATTATTTTTGGACACTTTCAGGAACAGACTTTTATAGGGGCATCCTTGGGTATATTGTAAGATTTGTTCATCTATGTTGTAGAGAGGGATCTTCCAGAATTTAAGTTGTAAATACACTGTCATAGTGTAAATTATTATTATCTTGTGCTGTAGATCTTTTGGCACGTGCACTTACTTTTTCCATTGAGCAGGATTTTAGAAAGCATCTCACATGGGAAGACACACACTGATTATCTGTTGCTGCAGTTATGACCTGGAGTGGATTTACTCCTGTGGTTTCCAAAATGTCCAGTTAGATCAGCGCTGGTTTTTAACGAGGCTCAAAGAGAGTTCATTATCCAATGAAATCTGTGTGTGATGAGGATGAGCAAAACTAGATTGACTGTCTGTGTTGCTGTATTACCTGAATGCAGTGAAATTATGCATTATGTATTTCTCCATCCCCATACAAAACTGTTGTCAGAAAATGTTGTTTGACACAACAAAATAAGGCCCTGTGTTTATGAAGGTCCCACATAGCACATCAATTGGACTTTCTGCCAAAATGTAATTTAAGTCTCACTGTGCCACTGGTTCCAAGCATTGCTTTGGGCAGTTCATTATGATAGTCTGCCCCAAAAAAGAAAAGCAATCTTGGCCACAATAATGACCTTGGGAGCTGTGTCATCAAGTGACATGAGGCGAGGATTTGCACAGGGATTTATGGGATTTAATGTTCCTGGAAAGATTTAAAGTTTCTGGAAATCCAAGCATGAAAATCTGTTATTCTAAATAAATAATAAATCACTTCATTTATCAAGTAGGTGATTCATACTATTTCTCATAGATTTGTGCCACTCCACTAATGAGGAATAAAATTCTTGATGGTTGATTGTTCTGTTGATTATTCTTATGCATATTCTTACGCATCCTTCCTTGCCAGTGCCTGGTTCAAGGTTTGTACTACCACCAAAAACCTGCTCAGTAAGGGTAGGGACTCCAAAATCAATTTGAATAATTGAAACCCACATATATACTTGTGTAGTTTATAAGACTGTAGTTAAACAGAGAGCAAATCTGTCAGTGGATCAAAATGCCAGATATGAAGCTGTCACGTAAGAGCTCCTCTAACTCAAGTAACTACATTTCCAGCATGAAAACTGCTTCAGGATTTATTTGTTTGTTTGTTTTTTTCCTCAGATTCCCTGAAAGACTCCAAAGTCATGCAGAAGGGTGATTCAGTGGATCCTGTGATGTGTGAGCAAGATCAAGCCAAAGGTAAAGCCAAAGTTTTTTTAAGATGGAGATAATGAATCAGGGTGAAACCATTTCTTTCATGGGAAAGCCACGTATCTCTAAATAGGTTTAGCCATAACTGATCCTGAGTGCATAGCATTATTATCACGTCCTCCTATGTTGTTGTGCTTCTGAAAGCCTGTGGGGTATTTCTGTGCCTTCTGCTGACCATCAAGTGCAAGCACTTTACAACAGCTCCTATGAGAAACAGTGTCAAGGCAGAGCTGCAAAAGATAAAAAAGCTATAAGTGCTGCAGGGTCAGTTTTGAGCAGCTATTTAACTAGCATAATGCCTAGTATTGTTAAGTGGTATTTTCATATATAAAATGTGTCTGACATTGTTCACTTAATAGAAAAAAAAAGCAGTACTTGGCTTAGATGTCCCATGCTGTGTGTGAGGTTCATGTTCGGTTTTAATGAATTTAGCGTTGGCTGCATGCAGCATCATCATGATACCATTTTCTGTTTATTGTATTAACAGGACAACAGGATATTTCTGCAAATGAGGAGATAAAAAGTGGGGAAGATTCCCAAGGCTCCTGCATGGAAATAGAAGGTACTCCTTGTGTCTTGAAATCAAAAAGCAAGATTAACAAGGGAAAACACTAGCACAGAATCACACAATCATAGAATGTCTGGGATTGAAAAGACCTTAAGGATCATCTAGTTCCAACCACCCTGCCATGGGCAGGTACACCTTCTACTAGGCTAGGTAGCTCAAAGCCACATCCAGCCTGACCTTTCAAGGGAAGGGGCATGGACTATATGTGCCTCTGGGATTGCAGTGAGTCCTAGGGAAGACCCATGCTTGGATGAGGCACATGGGATTTTGTGATAAATCCCAGAAAGTTCAGTATCTTCAAGGCTTTGCTCTGAACTAGAGCCCCTTGGATTTCCTTGGACAGCTTTTTTATTTGTACTCGTGGAGGAAAAGATCCTTTTCCTCTGCTGGTGTTTTAAATGGCAAGGTCTCTTGTGGGTGTTAATCCTTTCATGTCCTTTCTGAAAAGCTTTACTGTTCATCTTTTTATCAAATTTATTCAGATCCACTGTTGAACCAAGAAGACAAAACAGAAGCTGAGAAACCTTTGATTCCTAATGCAGAGGAGAAGGAGGAAGGAAAAGAAGGAGGTGAGCCTATTATAAAACACATGGAGACAGAAAATGGTTCAGGACTCATGTTATCCTTTTCTATTGTGAGGAAACATGGAAAGGGCATATAAAAGCACTTTTTTCCCCCTAAGAAGAAACCTTTTTTTATCTTATCTTTGAGTTGGATTTGCACAGGAAGCTAAGTGCAAAAAAGTGCACACTCAGGTTCAAAAGTGACATTTAAATACTGCCCTCATTTTTGCATTTAAGTGCATAACGCTGATTTATGTCCATGTAAGTATCCTTTTGATCACATTTGCTTGTATCATTCAGAGTATTTAAAATAAATGTGTAGGATAGTTATTTGTGAGGTCATTAACAGAGATTTAACTATAGACTAGCTAAAACTAGTAATTCTAATGAAGAAAACAATATTTGGAGTGAGAATGCAGAGTCTGATGAAGTGGTAATTTTTTTATGGCAGTAAAGTATTTAAAACTTTGGGAATGCTTTTGCAAGGAAATATAAAACTTTAAGTGTCGGATGCTTCTGGAAACCCAGCGATCATCTCACCATTTGTAAAAGCACGTGATTATATAATGTATTATGTAAATAATTTTCTAATTTTAAAGTAACTACAAGTTAATTATATGGTCATTTGGAGAGCCCAAGGATGAATTTTACAGTTCCAAATTAAAATGCAGACATGATGTTTATTGAAAATTCAGGTCAATATTAACTGTGTTGTCCTAATTATGAAGTCCTTTCCTCAGCGACACTGACACCAACTTACTTGCAAACCTACATTAACAATATTGACAATTTTCTTCACTGCAAAGCCAGGTTAATAGAACCTCTTTGTTCTTACACAGCTAAACAACATTTCCATTCCTTTATTTTTAAATTTTAATTGCCTATCCAAGTTGACACTAATCACATTTCCTTGTTACCATTTGTGTTAGTGGTATTGGTTTTGTGTTAATGATGACGAAGGTAGCACTGATATAATTCCTATGCTCAAATTCAGGTAAATGGTACCACACTACCTCAGTTGCAAGCCCAGGTTATACAATACAGGCTCTCTCTCTGATTGCAAATACCAATGTCATTATGCTAATCTCCTCAAATAGAAATTATTTACGTATTATTTTATGCATTATCACAGCTAAATTGGACAAAATGTACCTTCGTTATTTGCACATTTTCTCCTCTTTACTACTTTAGTGTCCCCAATAGCTAGGGACTGTCATTTAGTTCTCAGAAGAGAGATTATATTTCAACATTTGTTCTACTTACTATTAAAATATGCATTGTTAAGGAAAAGCAGGTAATGTCAGAAAAGGGTTGTTCTTGGCACCTTTTCCTTTTCCGGCCCTTGATTTAAAAGTTTCAAATACTAAGTAAAAAGTTCTTGATAAATATTTTGGAACTTGTTCCTACCTGGGGTCTCAGGTGTTGATACTATGCAGGATTCATCTGATCCAAGGCTTGTTGAAGTCCATGGAATGAATGTCATTAATTTAAGTGATCTTTTGGTTAGTTCCATGATAAGAGGAGATATGTTGAGTCTGTGTGCGGGATAACAGCTTATAAATATTCTGTTCAGTTTCTTCCAAATGTACTCTCTTTGGCACAGGGAAAATAAATGGGTGCTCTTGCAGAGCAGGAGCAGGGAAGGAAATAAAGCCTTTCCCTTGCCTTGTTTCATTCTTATGGGTATAAACACTCCATAGCTCATTTTGCTAGGTGTTTCTTGTTCTGGTGGGCACAAATTCTGCCACGTGGGTTTTTAAGGTTTGCCATAAAATGAAGTGGGTCTGGACAAAAAGAGGTAAAAAAAAAAAATAAAATCAGCTGAAGTTCAGACTGATAAAATATATTTCCCAATGAGAGACTCCTCTTAATGGAAAGAGATTACCTGGCTTTAAAAAGAGATTTAATATGTGAGATTATTTTAAGTAACCCAAGTGCTACCTCCTAAAGTAATTCAGCTGAATAGTTTTCCAGCAGCACACACGGTATATTTGACATAGGATAAAATACTGTATTTTTGTCTGAGAACATGGGGAAAAGGCTAATGTGGGACTGCTAGTCCTGTTAAACAGAAATTCATGGCTCTGAAGCCAGTTTGACCCGTTCTGGATCTATATGCATAGCCAAATGTAGCAACTACTAAATTCCAAATTACCTGGTCTTTCTCTTCTATAAGAGATTTTTTTGTGTGTATTTTCAAAGGCATTCCAGAGAAAAGGGTAGCACATAGCCTCTCTCTTCTCTCTGTCTCACTGGGGGCATTAATTCTTGGGAGTCATCTGCAATCCCTTCAGTCCTCAGAGCTGGAGCTGTGTAAGCCACTAAAGGACCAACAAAGAACAAAGTCCCTTTTCCAACCTAAATCTGGATTTCTGCTCAGTTACTGATTGTGGCTTTGAGGCATGCTAGGAATTTTTTCAATGATGTGGCTTTCTGTGGAAAAAATGTCTGTTTTGTGCTGTTTTAGAGATGTGTCTCAGTTTACATGAACTTCTAACAAAGCATAGGTTATCTTCTGATTTAATTGCACGAATTTTACTGCTAGCTCATCTCTGTGTTTGGGGTTTTTTTAAAGCTTGCAGGGTCCTTTCTGTATTAATTTCACTTCACAGCTCCAGGGTCATGCTGTAATGTGAATTCCCAAGGAGTCCCAGATCCTGGTGCTTTCAAGGTTCTGGGATGCTGGGAGCCCAGAGGAATGAAGAATCAGAATCTTGGCAGTCGCGCTAATATATCCCATTGCCAGCAGTAAGAACCAAGCCAGATTACCCTGAAGAATATAACAATGTGAGGCACTGTGTGTTTCATAAAAACCTGCTGTTGCTTTTTCCAAAATCAGTAATAAAATATCACATGTGCCAATTTATTCCCTTTTTTCCTACTTCAACTTGAAGTTACATATTATGATGGAGCAGCTGAAGGAAAAAGGCAAACTAAGATGCCTTTTTCATTTTTTTTCCAACTACTATAAAGCACTCATTCTGGTTCACAAAAGAATAATGAAAATGTATGTTTCTTATAAGTCTGGGGAATATTCTCAAATCCCTTTATTAAAAACCAGAGCAAGTGGTGTTCACTGACCTATTTGCTGACTAGGTAAGTGTACACAGTTTTAACAGACCTTTTGGCAGTCCCTTTATATGTACACTTGGAAATAGTCCTGTTGTGTTGTAATGACCATGCACTCAACACTTACTTGTAGGTTTAATCAGCACATTTATTCCACAGCACAATTTGCAGCACATGGAAGTAAATCCTATATTTGCATGAATATGCAGTCAATTTCTCCTCTGAGCCCACTCTCACCTCTGTCCTTTCCCATCTCTTTCCATCTCCATTCATTGAGACATTCAATATGATGATTTTCCTCACTAATCACCCTTAGAAGTCATTTAACTCTTCAAAGGGGTAGGATTTCTGCCAGAGCACTAGAAAATGAAGTTATTGCTGTTATTTCTCTGTTTGCTTTCTTCTCTATTTGGGCTGAAATATTTTGTCATCTTGTGCCATTTGGAGCATAGTTTGAGCTTGACCTGTGATGCTTCTCCACATGAGAAACATATCCTCACCTTGACCATGAGGTTAGGACTGGCTCAGGGGCAGGCTGAGGGAGGTTTCCATCATTTGCAGTACACGGGATTTCCTTTGTCAGTCTTCTGATCAGTGCTTGTTTATTCTAAATTTGAAGTCTGCCTAATTTCAAATTTGAAGTCTGCCAAGTTCTGTTCTAGCTAAGCCCAGTTTTGCTGGACAGTCTTTGTAACATGAATAGCTGTAACCTGTAACTCTGTAGGCAACACTTTGTCCATTCTTCACTTGTCCATTTTGCTTCAGCAGGAGTGATAATTTTATGGAATAATCTTGGAGAGAACTAAATGCTCCAAAACCTGGGGAAAAGAGCTCTTATGTTTTATAGCTTCAGTCTCAGGCATTTATAGGATTTTATATTCATTGGTACAGTTGTAAATAATGTCAAAACAATGACTTTGTTATCAAACAGTCAAAAATTTCAAAACTACATTGTGGCTATAGAGAAACAAAAGAATTCTCAAGAAAGATCTTTTTGGACAAACCTGACATTTTTATTTCTGATTAATGGCAATTTTATAGCTTAACCAAACACCTTTAATTCTTCAAGTGGAGAGAGATGAGACATTTTTAAAAAAACAAAACAAAACAAACAACAAAAAAAGTCTTCCCTAGAATCTTTAAGTTGGTAATTTCACTTTGTTTGGAAAGAAAAGAATATTTCAGAGTGTTGTGGCTTCTGAAAATCTAGTATAAAGGCTCCAGCTTCAAAGAGGAAAGTAAAAAATGTCTTGAACCAGATATAGTGCATTTGGTGTTTGATAAGAACCCATACTGAATAGATTGGATGCCACTTTTTTGGCTGTTACAGCATATCCAGACACTAAATATGAAATATATCTTTAAAATCCTACTCTAGCAGATACTGATGTTTGGCAAAGAAAGGAAAAAAAGTGCACCATTGAATGTTTTGCAGAAATGCTGTGAAGGCTGTGGAACCAGAAAGTTGCAAATGGGTATTTAAAGCTCTAAGCTGTGCAGAGATATGGGCTGTTGGGAAGCAGTGGATGGGACTAGTGGGAAGTGCAGAGAGATATTTTGAGTGCAAATCCTGAAAGGTGCCCAGCCTATGAAGCCTTGCTGTGCACACCTTTATTTTCTTGAGAACTGCAAAACTCCAGTGAGCTTTTCAGCTGCAGTATCAGCCAGTTGAGGAGATTTTGTGACCAGATCATGTTTGCCAGCCCACTATGCTGAGTTTGTGGTGGTCCAAGGGCTGTTTGGCTGTATCAGGCACTCTGCCCTGCTGAGGGCACTACAGCTGTGGCAGGAAAGGATATCCAAGTAATTTCTGTGCCTCATGGAAGTAGCCAGGTGAGGCTCAGCTGCATCTTCTCTGCTCCACTTGCACATTGCAGACTGCAGAAGAGGAGTGGGGGTTTGGCCCCACTGTCTGTGGGTTTATGTTTGTGTGGGGG